TTAATATTTCATTTTTTAATATTTTGTTATTAAATGTTGGTATTGTTAATATTCTTGAATTTGTAGTTAAAAAAAAGATGATATATTTGTTTTCGTAAATAACCAATTATAATTTATTGAATTATATTATATTATAATCAATAATTTTATAATACATTATATGTAGAAAAAGAAATAAACGAAAACTTTTGATCATCGTTATACCAACGTTAATATGTACAAACAAAAAACGTTGGTGGGGATTTAAAATCTGTCATACGTCAAGTTGACGCAGTCGTGTAAAAGTCGCGAAAACGTTCTAAACGCTAACGGAATCATGTCACGAAAAATTTTATCACGAATCACATATAAATCCCAAAAACCTAAACCTCACATATGACCATTAAATAGTTTATCATCTTAATGGAAGTACCATTAACAGTGCAAACATCACCATCGACTCTTCTGAAGGGTTCTTTTCGTCACCTGTATCGAAAACGAGATCGCGCGAATCAATTCACCAAGAATTAAGTGAAGGTAACCACCGCCCCCCACAAAAAAAGAATGTAATAAAAAAGAATCGAGAAAAAAAAAATTCGTTTCTTTTGCTGTTTTTGGGATTGGTGTTATCTGATTTGTTGCAGTGGTCCCTACAATCACGGCTAATATACTCCCATCTATATAGATAAGAGGACAGCACGCGGAATGTTCGCGCCTTAATTAAACGGCGATAACGCGGGGGAAATGAGCGCGACTGCCGAGAAAAGGGTCTCTTCGTTTAGTTACACAACGTCCGATTCGCAAAATTTAAATGAATATCACGATGAAGATGCAGCACAGTGTTCGCACGAAGTCCAGCTTTATTTGGCGCAGTTATCACAAAAATCGGGTTGTTGGGGTGGGTGTATTCCTGTTCCTTTTGAAAGAGCCGCAAGGAAATCTTGGTGGGATCCTATGTTCGATTCGGAAATTTTAGAGGAACAATTTAAGAAAAGTGCTTTATCCCATAATACACATAAATTTAGGTGAGTTTGAAAGTTTTTTTTTTTTTTTGAGTATCACTAAGCTATTTTTAATCTTGTTTAGAATATTTTTATTAGGTTTTATCTGATTTATAATGAAAAAAGGATTATGTTGTTAATAATTTTTGAAATATTAAAAATTGATTGTTTATAAAAGAATAAATTAATTATTATTTTTAGATAAAGTATATACAGGGTGATTCTCAACCTATTTCCTCATGACAAATAATTACTAATACGTGAAAAAATTGTAATAAAAGTATATGTGGCGACATCTAGATAAGGTGCTTCCTTCAATCCTCCTAATTTTTATTATTGGGGTCACATAGTGTATGCCATCGAAGTTAATACTGAGCAAGGATTGCCAATCCTATACATGTTCTTACCCAAAAAATCCGCCAACACCCTGGCTTAGCCTGCTCTAATGGGAGATCATAGATTCAATGAACTCAATTGTGTATAAAAAAATATAAGAAACAACTTTTAACACTTATTTTTTTCACCTCCTAATCATTATTTGTCATGATGAATAAATTCCTAAGTTTTTGCGTATACGTTGAGAATCACCCTGTATCTATATATATATTTTTTTTTGATTTGAAAGTTTTAACCACTCTGTAGAGGTTATAAATGATATTATTATGCATTTATGAAAGTGAGATCATTTTCATCCTTAACAGTGACCTTTTATATTCTTAGCCTTGAGAGTAGAACTTCCTCAATGAGTGTTTATAGAGTTAGTTAATGGTGCGAGATTATCGAATGTTAGGGGACACGGATAGTTAGCGGATTATAATTAGAGTAAATAATATTAAAGCAAACTGCGTGTCATAAATGCGCGTTGATTAAATCTCGAATATTCGATTCGATATGATCGTGTGTCTATAGAAGGATTTTATGGTGAGTACTCGGGTTGTACTTGATTATCGATAATTTGTTGCGTATTAATAATAATAAAAAAAGCTTAAACGTTTCCCGGAAATTGGTAATAATAATTATTAGGTGTTAATAAAAAATAAAACTGATTATGAAATCGGGTTTTTTATGGGTAATTATAAAATGGATTTTTAAAATTGTTATGTATGTAATTAATGACGCAACTTTTTTGTGAGGGGATTTAGATTGCAATTTTGAGTCTCTAAATTCCTTCTTTCCAACCGATTTGTATTTAATTTAAAAATTAATAATAAAACTATGTACCAAGTAGTAACAAGTGACTTCTATCTTTGTCCTATTATATAGGATGATGAAATATTAGGCAACTATACATTTATACATACAACAAATAATCGTTATGATTAGAAACTTTAAAAGAAAGTTGGAACGAATTGCGTGTGGCAAGGAATGTCTAAATAATGCTGGAATATACGTCAATAATCAAATCTAGAGAAGGCATGTTGAGTTAAGTAGCATCTTGTGCGGCTGAGTTCCCAGCCGTCTTCTGTATTCATTTTGTTCCTATGTTCATGAATATCTATCGCCTCTCTCACAATACTTTGGAAATAATATACAGTTCCTGCTAGCACCTTGGTCTTGTCGAAATCTATGGTGTGTCCTTATTTATGGCAATGCTCTGCGACTGTCCAGTCTCATGTCTTATTCAATCTCATGTTCCTTGATGCGACACTCGATATTACGTTTAGTTTGGCCAACGTAACTGTATGGTAGCCGATAGATTCCCGTTTCTTTTAATGGGGTTAATTTGTCTTTAGCTATCGGAAGAGCGTTGTGTATTTTGGTGACCATACTATATCGTAACGCGATATCGTACTCTTCAGACACCTAGCAATCCGCTCCGTGACACCTAAAACATAGGATATCCCTAATCGTGTAATCGTTCTTCTGCAGTACATACATCCTGTAGAAATCTTTTAATTATTTTTGTCGCATATCCTACCTTTCCTTCCTACAATTTCATATCCTCGTCTGTCTTCCTAATGACCAATCTTTCTACATCTAGGAAAGGTAACTGTTTTGCAGTTTCCGTTTCGTCTCGAAATTCTTGGAGTCGCTGTTTCCCGTGCTGCCAGATCATGAAAGTGTCATCCATCTAACGTAGCAATAGCTTCGGTTTCAGCGGATTCTTCTTTAACGCTTCGTCTTCAAACATCTCCATGTAAAAATTTTCAGTTACAGGAGAAACCCCTTCGCATTGCTCATAGAATTCTCCTTTCGTTTCATCTTTGACTGATTCTCTGGTGAACAGATCGAAACTTACCAAAATACCCTGGGGATCTAACTTCATACTTCTGACATAATCTCTGTAATCTCTAATAATATGATTCTGTTTTATCTGTATAAGGAGGCAAAATCTTGGAAAACTGTTTTTCCACCTGATACGTTGCAGAACTTCTTTTTTGTTCTGCTGCAAATTCTGTAGATTTTACCAATTCTTCGATTTTATTATCTTCTCGGTTGAGTCCTTTTTCATTTTCTTATAGGTGGCTGGATCCAAAAGGCTCGTCATCTTGTATTCTTTTCTATCAATGACCACAGTTGCATTTTCTTTATCTGGTAGAACTATGATGTCTGTTTTTTTCCTTACCGTTTGTAAATTGTTAGGTTTGATTTTGGTGACTTCACTGTTTTAAGTACTTTCGCTATCTCTTGTCGAAATTCTTTTGCTTTCATTGCAGATATTCTGCAAATAGCCGCTTCCATTGCGCAGATGATTTCCTCCTTCGGAACCTTCTTTGGAGCGACTGGACGACTTTGGTTAATGGGACGCTTGATTGGTTAATGATGACCGTTTCGATTGGCAAATAGCTGTTTATTTTCTTGTAGGTGTGCCGGTCCAACGATACGAACTTCTTAAAAAAAAACCAAGAACATCAAAAGCTGTGTATTTAAGCCGAGGTTGATTGCGGCGGAGGCATCGATGTAACATAGACCACAATGCTCTTCTTACTCATTCTTACTACATGTTTCGTTTTTCTGGTTTCTGTCAATTTAACTACATTTTGTATTTAACATCTTTCTCTAATAAAGGTGTTGGTTTGTTTACCTCGTAGTCTAACATGTAATATAAATTTTTTCCTTTACTGTCACATTTTGCTTAGTCTTGTTCGTCTCTACTGTCGTCTCGGTATTATACGCCTTCTACACGAATGTATTTGTTGTAGCTTGTAATTTCAACACCTAGATATTTAAAATGAATTGTTCTATCGTAGCGTTGTGAGATGGCCTCGGATCCATCTTGAAACTTTCTCTCTTCCCAGCAAGACCCTTGAGCTGCTGCATAGTCTTTCTTTCTGCGTCACTGTCTCTTCCCATGTTGTTGTCAGTATTCCTATGGGTGGTCTGTCCTGCGCTCTTGTCTGTTCTTATGTGACCAAACCAAAAGCAACTTTTTATTCTCACTCATCTGGAAGCATTTCATTTGGACCGCATTAACTCTATTGATGACCCTTCTATTTGAAGTCCAGCTTTCATTGCCATAAGTAAATATAATAATAATAATAATCTTTATTCGATGCAAATACATAAGAAATTACATGTCATAATGTCACCTAATTAGAATGTGGTATTGACATACAAAACAAAAACAAGAAAAAAGAAAAGAAAACAGTATAATTCATTCTATACATCTTTCGAGAAATTAATTTATCCTGTATATTGGGTTTTGCGCTAGGTAATTCTTAACGAACGAGTTCATTCTTCTAGAAGGCAATTGCCTAACTGACTGTGGTAAATTCTGAGTTATTTTGAGTCTTTACTAGACGGCGGCTATTAATCCTGCTGATGACCCTTCTATTTGTGGTTCAGCTTTCATTGGCATTGATAAGCAGAGGCTCAATAACCGCTGTATAAATCCTAGTCTTGGCTTTATAAATCCCTGAGTGGGTTGGGTTGGGTTGGACTCAGGGTTGGACTCATAATAAGTCTTGGTAGTGTTGTCCATTCTGTTCCTAACCTTTTCAGTAAACCCAAGTTTCAAGTTGTGAAATGTTACATAAGAGTTGTTGAAGATTTGCCTTAATCCATTATGTTAAGTCATCAGGCTGCGTTTAACCTCAGACCGATTATCTATTATCTGTATGGGTATATTTTCATGTCCGAGTATGTTAATAGAGTATACAGGAATTCCATTGCTTTTCTGCAATCTGTTTAATGATAAAGCTTTCGTTTGTTGTGGCTCCATTGTTTCTGAATCCCTTGATTAATCAATTGATGTAAATAGGACCAGAACGCCTCAAATGTTTGTCTTGAAGATTTCTGACTAGTCTTGCATTAAATAGAATTTAAAAAATCAATTCCAGTTTTAGACATCATATTAAACGAATAATCAGATTTAAAGCTTTTCTGTTACAAAAAGGAGATTACAACGATTGTTTATGATTATTACCTTTGAAACACCTCATTTTTTTTAAACAAAAATTAAAAAACAATTCATATGAAAAATTTTCCAGTGTTATTAATAATAATTATGTCTTAGCTCCTCGTGGAAATATTTCATAATAAAATATTTGCTTTACAAATGATGATTAAAAGTCCCATAATACATTTATTAAAGTAATTAAAAAATGAATGAAGTAGTTTATTAAGCAATTTGTAACCTATATATTTTTTTATAATTTTTGTCTTATCTTTGTGCAAATATCGGCTATTTTTATCTGGGACGATATTTATAGGTATGTTTAACTAATGCTGTTTAGGAAGTTGTTTAAATACTACTGAGTAAATAATAGGTCTATAAATTATGATTATTAATAATTGTTACAATTTCTATTTCTAAAACCCAAAATAAACGTTTGGAAAATGTGCCAAAAATTTAACCTTTGATTTTAGTTTTTTTTTTTTTTTTTTGAAAAAATAAAATTTTAAAACGAAAATAACCGAAACGGATATTTGGTTGTATTTTATATTTATGATAGGTTAATATTCATAAAACTATTTCTGTTAGACTCCCGGTTGTGTTGATAAAATTACCCATTCAAATAAAATAAACAAATCCTTTTAATAAAAAATCTATCACGATAACATTTTTATTATCATCTCACTAATTTTTGTTTTTTTTTTGATCAACAGATACGGACTTTTCTATATCCTTCTGGTATCGTTCGTTTGGTTTCTGTATTTCCTCTGTATTGGAATAACGACAGAAATACCAAATTGGCCTACGCAATGCGCAATCTTAGCCGTTTTCACCGTTGTAATAATTCTACTCATTTTTTTAACATTTACGAAATTTTGCATACAAAGATTATCAACAATTTCGTTATGCACAGTGTTGGCTTTGTGTGTAACAAGAATATTTTTCGTAATTCCATTAATCCCGGATGAAAAAAACGGAACTCTTCCAATAATCGGACACGTTGGAAAATTTTCAATATGCGCCGAAATTTTAATGCTAATTTTTACAATATTCCCGTTAAGATTTTATATTTGTATAGTAATAAGCGTTACCTACACCGCGTTATTTGAAATAGTAACGTGGCTTTCAAGTCGTAACGATTACGACTTTAAAACAGTTACCATAAGATTAATGGTACATTTTTGTATACATTTAATCGGAATTCATATATTAATTATGAATAATATTCGGATGAGAAACACGTTTATGAAAGTTGGTCAAAGTTTATTAGCTCGAAGCCAGCTCGAAAAAGAGCAGATATTAAAAAAAGAAATGATTTTGTCGTTAATGCCGCCGAGTGTAGCAAGTTGGTTAATGAACGATGATCGAAAAGACGGTAAAGAACCGAGATATTCCGACCCAGAAACCGGAGACATCGCAAAATCTTTATTTCGACCGTTTAATATGATTCGAATCGAAAACGTTAGTATTTTATTCGCGGATATTGTTGGTTTCACAAAAATGTCCAGCACAAAAACTGCCGAAGAACTCGTTGTAATTCTCAACACTTTATTCCGAAGCTTTGATATTTTATGTCGAGAACATCATTGCGAGAAAATCTCAACGTTAGGAGATTGTTATTATTGCGTTTCCGGCTGTCCGGATCCAGTCCCGGATCACGCAAAATGTTGCGTTGAAATGGGTTTAAGCATGATTAAAGCAATTAAAGACTTTGATACAACATATAATGAAGGTATTAATATGCGTGTTGGTATTCACACGGGAACGATTTTATGTGGAATCGTCGGAACGAAACGGTTCAAATTTGATGTTTGGAGTAACGATGTCACCTTAGCAAACACAATGGAATCGACGAGCAAACCCGGAATGATTCATATTTCAGAAACAACAAGAAAATTTTTAGACGACGATTATTTATTAGAAGATGCCCCCCAAGTCTCCGGCTTAAAAACTTATTTAATTCTCGGAAAAACAATAAACACAATTCATTCCAGAAACAGTAGTTTTAAACGGGATGAAACTAAATTACATAATTCAGTGCAATTAAAGATTTCGCCAGCTCCATCCCCTCCGTCGTTATCACCCCAAACCCGACCTAGAGTACTATCTTGTGATAATTCGCTAAAACCCACGACAGATCCAAACTTTTTATCTCCAGATGCGTGTAGAGTAAAAGCGAGTAGTTTACCAAGCATTTTAGATTCTGAAAATGAACAAGATTTCGATCCGGAACAAAAAGAACAGGTGAAAACGCCAACATCAACGGCGAGCTCAGGGAAATATTCAATGAAATTAAAAAGCTGGAGGATACCAAAGTTTTTAAAAAAGAACGAACTAATCGAAACGAACAACCAAGACGAATACCAACAAGTACCAATAATCGTTGAAGATCAAACTTTAAACGGTAAAAAAATTGATTCAACATCTTGGACTAATCTTAGTAATTGTTTCGACGAACACACCGATGTTTTATTTGACGAACACAAAGATGGGATTGACGTTAAATCGTATATTAGTCAGTCAAGAAGTGATATTGGTGCTTACGATTTTACACCGAACGATTACGCCGCACATTTTATACGCACAGGAAGTTACCGATCGCAATACGGTAGACAAAATGAATTAGTTTATCTATCCAGAGCGGGAAGTAATCGTTCGAAACGCGGAAAATCTCCCGTTTTCGAAAATTTATCAGGCGAACGTGCCAAGAGTATCACCGTACCAAATTTTGAAAGACCGCACAAGACCTCACTTGAAGTGCCACATCGACTTTCGACAATATTACTTGACGATCAACTCAGTGTCGCTCATTCTATTAATAGTAGAAAGGATTCTGGGATAAGAAGTAATAGTAGAAAAAGTAGTATTCAACAGGTAAGATTTTTTTTTTATTTCATTTAAAATTTGATAAAAATCAAGTTTCACTAATTTGATGTGTTTAAGATTGATGATTTTAAATCGTTATTAAAAGTATCATTTCAGCAATTTGCGGTGTTTTATAGGTGTGAAAATAGCGTCAATTAAAATCAAATTGGACAGGTTATATTCAATTAAATATATATTATGTCATTGATCTTGATTATTTTTATCCATCTTTTTATTAATATGTCCTCTTGAAGATGAAATAAGTACAAATTATTATTTGTATTAAACTAAAAGATGATGTTTCAATAAACATGTTTAAACCCATTTGGTTGATGACACCAATTAACCTTGTAGTACATGGGCTTACAGAATCACGCGGCGGGCTGTTAGTTCGTAATTGCCAATAAAAAAGATCGCCGGGGAGCGAAATAGATATTATTTATACAATTATTACTACTTAATATATTGTTTTTAGCTAACATTAGCATTATAACCTTTTTCAGAAACAACTTTGAAGTATTTATAATGTACAGCAACTTGGCGCTGAATAGAAATTAAAGCTAGAATTAACTTAACACTAGATCTAGAACTAGAAACATTCGGGTTTAGCTGTCTTAAGAGATGTTTGGCTAAACCCGAATGTTTCTAGTTCTAAGTCTAATGTTTGTTCTAGTGACAGTGATAGGTAGTGCTAGTTTGTATAAGATGGTGCATATGGTCACTATGGTGCATATTTTTATTGCACTAAAACTAGAACTAACACTAGACCTAGAACTAGAATCATTCGGGTTTAGCCGTCTGAAGAGACCTGCGGCTAAATCCCAATGTTTCTAGTTCCCAGTCTAGTGTTAGTTCGAATTTTGCACTATCACTAGAACTAGCACAAGACCTAGAATCATTCGGGTTTAGCCGTCATGAGAGACGTGCGGCTAAACCCGAATGTTTCTAGTTCTAAGTCTAATGTTTGTTCTAGTGAGATGTCACTATGGTGCATATTTTTATTGCACTAAAACTAGAACTAACACTATATATATAGTCGCCCTACGAGACGTACGTCTAAATCCGAATGTGAATAAAGAGGCAAATATTTAGAGAAATGCGTACTTTGCAAAATGTACATTCAAACATTTAAAATTAGGCATCATAATTATTACTTAAATATATAAAAAATGCTTATAAACACCAATATTTGTTATAACAAGTTATTGTTAAGCCATAACGTAGATTGTTTAATACCGAATAATCTCGATTTTGTGTAAAGAATTTATTAGAAGCACTGATAACGTTTACCGTACTTATAATAATTAGTCGGTTGAGCAAAGTACAATTTTATTAAGAAAATAGGCAACCGAATACACACCATGGTATATTGTGGCTCCGCATGCATTCGGAGTAATTTTTTTGTTTTGTAAAGGATGTTACGAGCTACTTTATCATTTTTTTTTTCTTAAGGTGTGTTTAAATTTATATCAATATCCAATCAGTGCATGGCAATCTTGCTGCTTCGCACTTGCTGATGTATGTTTTGACACTCCATTAACACGTTGACTGCCATGAAAAGCGTAACTTGATGCACAGCAAAATTTCCACAACAGCCACTAGAAGCACCAGTTGATTCTCATGCCTATTTAATTTTAATTGTTCCGGCCAGAATGGATAGACTTTTAGTGACTATTGCGGCAGCCAACGTGTTAAAATTAAACGTGTAAAAGAGGAATGTTTTGGACACTCTGTTTCTTCAAACCAAATCTTTTTTATCTCAATGATTTTCGTTTATTTATTTGGTTCCCTTCCTTAGGTTTCCAATTTTAATTAATAATCATCTACTTCAACAAACTTAATCACTTTTCAGCGTCATTTAGGCAGTCTAAAATTTTTGTATGCTTCTTCGTCTGTAACTCTTTAATCTCTTCTGTTTCAGTTCTTCGGAGAGTTCCTCGAAAAATTTTGTGATCTTATGAACTTCGTTTTCGATTTCATCACACTACACTAGTTTCTTCCAGGCAGAGATTAAGCTCTTTGTGATATCGTGCCAGGCCAAACGTCAATATTATAGTAGTTCTTAAAAAAATTTTGAAAATGAGGTTCGTACTCTTCGTGAAAGCAACGGCGAAACAGAAAAGAAACTCCTTGAGGATGTCAGCTTCGTGGTTACGTAAAATAGCAAGTGTATTATCCACTATAATAAATTCATCCGTTTTCCACAAAACCTGAAATTTTTCATTCAAAATTGTCTGTTACTCTAGGATGGCTATTGATTCTGTCTTGGGTTGATATTATTATGATTCCTACTTTATTAAAATTTTCGGGAAAAGAGAGAGTCACTTTATAAGAACCTAGAGATTCCCAACATGTGATAAATGTGTTAATAATAAACTGCAATTCAACCGAAATGTTTGTATCTTCAGAGTTATATGTTTAATAGCAATAATGGAATATGACTTATCATTTTGATGTCACTATCCATCATTTGCCTGATTGATTTTTTTAATAATGCATTTTTTAATCAACTTTAGTACATTCAATTTGGTTCAATGCTGCTCCTTCTTCGCGATTGTATAGGATAGTGTGAAGTAAAAGAATTGTTCTATCAATAAAAAGTATCCATGTCCAGCTTGACAGTGTCTTCAATTGGATAGACCTGTTTTGGGCTTTGGAGCTTACTGGAGTAATCAGTATGGCGCTTTCGCTGGAAAGTTTGGAGATTGTTGGTTTCACATTTCCTAAAGTTCTTACTTAAAGTTTGTATGTAGGAAATAATTGATTTCTGTAAATGTGCAAAACGAATGTTTTAAAAACACCAAGACCTCTTGATAGAGTGGTATTGACAAATACAATCAATTGATTGACAACTGATCTACTGTTTCCTTTTTGTATTCATAAGAATTAACGGTAACCATATCTATCAGATAATATAGATCGTATTGTAGTATTTCGTACATCTTCTACCAATGGCATACCTCCAATTTGTTCGGAAATATTCATTCCCTTTGTGCACACAACAGATTTTTGATGGTGTATAGCTTCCCACGAATGGTTTAAGCAGTAAACTTACCATCGATCTTTATGGCAAGCTTTTTTCCAATGCTACGCCTTGATCATAAACTTTGATAGCTGAAACCTCAATAGCGCTTGTTGGAATAAAATTATAGATCAGTATCGATTAAGTACAGTGTGTCTTGAGCAGAAGTTGCATCAAAATGATCTTGCCACATAAAATTATTAATGCAAAGTTATCTATTTAGGAACAAAGTCCTTATCAATACTGTTACATGGCATAAAGTCTCTTAGATCTTAGTTTTAGGCTAAAAATCTTCACTTATTATTTCTGTTATCAATTTGTTCGTGTGGTTAACGTAGTTAATTAAGATTAATTACATCAAGCAACTAAGATCAAGCTTGTTCTGCAACATCTTAAATAAATTTATAGGTCTTTACACAATTTCAGAAAAAGTTTCTCTTGTACTCTATAATCTAGAGACGTGGCTAGGATGATGAATTCCAGCTTTTATGCCACCTTATGGGCGGGCGTCCAGGAAGTCTATTTGTTCTTGGGACACCATCCTTTGCAATTTTCCGCTCAATGATTGTTCCTCCATCCGGGACGTCTGGTTCAGGATCATCGGAGTATATCTTGGACACCACAGAGTTCTCTTATAGTTCCTCAGGGTGTAGTGTGCTATGGATTGTATATGCGGATTTTACTTTGTATGCCCATGTGTTTGTTTCACCATATTATATCTCGCAAATACCAGGATATTAAGGTTACTTTGCTTGTCTGAGCCTTGACTTCCTCGAAGGGGTTTCTGCTATTTCTGATGCGACGCCGAGATATTTAAAACTCATGACCTCCTCCACCGGTTTATTATATATTGTCAGTTTGCATCTTTTCGGCTCTTTCGATATCGATTATCGATAGTGCTTTAAATTTTGCTACCGATATTATCATGTGGTACTTGATAGCTGTTTTTTTAAATTGAAAGACCATTTTCTGCAAGACATCTTCTGCGTAGCAGATTATCTTTAGTTCTTTGTTCCCCAAAGTTTTCCAACCTTATTTTACTTCAGTTATTAGTTTGTCCATAATGAGACTGAAAAGGGTAGGGCCTTGTTTTATGATTTGTGTCTTTCTGCCTTCCACTTGTATTTGGGTCATATTGTTTGTGTTTAACTCGTCTATAATGTTTTTTATATCTTGGTGTACATTTTTCTTGTTGATGAGTCTCACTACGAAGAAAAAGTATAATATACATAAATAAATAAATTATTTAAAATAATCAAAATCAATGACATTTATAAAAGTAATCATTTCATACTTTTTTTTAATGATCAGATGTGAATCAAAGATAATATGAACAATAATCGATAGTTATTAAAGTATATTCATCAAATTTCATGACATATTTATACAATGTCAATCATGGTTGACGCAAAATTATGATTTTTTAAAGATTAAATATTTTTTGTGTGATAAATAACATACATTTTCAGGCCTTGAACGTTGATAAAAAGTCTCCAATAAGTAGCTTTGGAAAAATCGAAGAAGTGAGTAACTTAATAAAACTACAAAAAAAAACGTTCACTGGCAATGTTTTTATTTCCTATTAAAAAAAACTTAAAGGTGTTGGCGTCGTTTAAATTTCTTTGCGTCTCTCATCCAATGTGCTCAATGTGCTTCTTTTTTTAATTAATGTTTATTCAAAAAGTGTAAAAATAGAAAACAAATAGATTGTGTTGTCTCAACAATAACATTTTATGTAACGATTTCTTATTAATTTTATTGTATTAATTAACGTTTGTATTAATTAATTTCAGATTGAAGCGCCTTATTTACACCCATCAAATCAACAAAGAGTTTCCGGTTATTTTACATCGAGTCAATCGACGTTAAATTCGCCACAATGTAACTCAACAAAACTGCCTCCGCCACCGAATCGAGTCGTTTCGCATCAAATGCGAAAGCAATCAGATCGACAATTAATCAAATGCGTACAGGATAATTTCAAATCGAAACATTCCTATTTTATGAACCCGCCGTTATCGAAACTTTCCCTATTTTTTCTCGATAAAAAAATCGAGCAGCAATATAGAGCGAACGTCCATGCTATAAACGATGGTGGAAAAGGAATCGAAACTTTGGCAAATTCAAGTTTTAACACTTATTTTGATATTTTAGTGTCGGTCGTTGTATTTATCGCGTCTTCAATTTCGTTATTTATTTTGTGTGAGTTTACGATTTCGTGGGCGATTACATTCGGTTTGTTTTTAAGCGTACAATCGTTGGCTGTTTTATTGTGTTTCGATGGTTTTAGTAACTTTTTTGAGAGGATATTTAATAAATTTAAAGTGAGTGACAGTTCGTTTACGAAATGGTGCCGTTGGAATACTTTCGGTAGTATTTTAGTCAGTTTACCGATCGTAGCAATTTTAGTAAATTATAATAATTCGCAAAATAATTATTTATACATGTATTTATTATTCGTAGGCGTGATTAATTTTTGCAATTTCACTCAATTAAATTGGTGGATGTGTAACATCTTAGTGGTGATTTATACGGTTGTTTACGTGTTGTTGAGAATTAATTCTAACTCGTTAGATTTTCACGATGCGGAAATATTTACGAGTTTATTCTTGTTGCTGGTTTTGGTGTGGATGTTAAACAGAGAATTTGAAAAGGCTTATCGATCAAATTTTCACGCTCATTATGAAGCTAGTCGAGATCAAAACAATATGCTCAAATTAAAGGAACAAGCTGATTTTTTAATTTATAATATTTTACCTGAACATGTTGCGAATCAATTGAAAAAGGATGCGAAATATTCCGAGAATTTTAAAAATGTCGGTATCATTTTTGCCAGTATTGTAAATTTTAATGAAATGTACGATGAGAGTTATATGGGTGGACGCGAATTTTTAAGAGTTTTAAACGAACTCATCGGTGATTTTGATGAATTATTAATGAACGAAGAATTTTATTGCGTCGAAAAGATCAAAACTATAGGTAGCACATTTATGGCAGCGAGTGGATTAGATTCAAAAGCGCGTGAAAACCAAGAAGATCCATACAACCATTTGTATGCTTTAATGGAATTCGCCATCGCGATGCAAGATGTCGTTGAAAAATTCAATAATAACCTATTAGAATTTAATCTCATACTGCGTATAGGTTATAATTTTGGCGATGTTACAGCCGCGGTTATAGGGGAAACGAAACTTTATTACGACATTTGGGGAGACGCTGTTAATATTGCTTCCCGAATGGACAGTACCGGGGTTAATGGTAGAATACAAGTTGGGGAGATGTGTTTAAACGTTTTAGAACGACGTTATATATTCGAAAAGAGGGGTTCTGTTTATGTGAAGGGCAAAGATAATATGAACGTTTATCTTTTATCGGGGAAAAAAGAATAGGGTTGAAATAAAAAGAAATTGGATGAAGAAGACGTTATTCATTCACGAAATATTCATTCATTAAAAAGTCGAAAAAACCACAAAAGATATTTTAAAATAAGCGTGTTAGATTTTAGAGATGTCTTCGTTTAGATTAAAAGATCTCAATTTTTTAACTCAGGTTGTTTTTACATTCTTTTCTATTTATTTCTTATTATTTATAGATACTTTAATTTAAAAAATAATTTCTTTTATAAAGTTTGAATGTTTTGTGAATAAATAATGTTTTTTATCAAGCGAAATAATTCAGCACAAGAATTAGACTACCTATTTAAAAGAAACATATACAAATATTATACAACTTCTATACATTCCATTTTATACATTTACATCAAGTTGAATGTAATTTGTAAGATTTTAAAAAATATTTATAAGATTAACCAGTTTCTAAGATAAAGACACCAATTGACCTTGAACTAACTACGTAGAATGCTGAGGTTATAACTTTTATAGATTTCTGGATTATTCATAGTTGACATGTGAAATTTGTTAGTGTTAATTAATTGGTCCTTCCTCTGACTTCTCAAAACATTTTTTGTTTTTCCTAATCCTTGCTTGAATTGTTTTCTTATTTTATTATACTTAATGTTTTTGCTCTCTTCCGAATCTTTCTAGTATTTTCATTCAATTCGGGCCAAATTGAACAACGTCATTAATTTCGCTTCCAAACTCATCCAGAAAATCGATCATATCTAAAACATCTCCAATTCTGCGACCCGTCCATTGAGTTCACCTCTTAATCTCTGTATTAATTTTAATTTGAGTTGTTTGAATACAAGGAAGTAGTTATAAAAATCGCCAGATCTATCTGGACTATCCCAACGCCATGACCAACCTCGGCGGTTTGATGATATACTTTTTATATAAGAGACTATGTATCTTTACAAAGATATATAAGAAGCAATTTCGCCTCAAATCGCCGAGGTCGCTTGCGGGCGAGGCGCTGGGAAGTTCCAAAGAAAACGATTTTGTGTTTATATACGTCGGAGGCAAATGGTTATTTCAGGTAGATAGCTTTTTCCTAGTCAGATACTGTCTGCCTAGGTAAATAGTAGTTCGTTGCAGTTTTATCATTAAATGTTTAGACAAATACTATTGGACAAGACAAATAGTATCTGTCTAAGCCTGTTTTAGGAAAATACCATTTTTTCGATACAACAATGCAATATAGAGTTACCTGTTCATAATACAATAAAGTAGTTCCTGTCGTTATCAACCTACTTTTCTTAAATTAAAGTCACTAATGAGTGTCTCATTTATTTTCAAAAAATGCATAACAGTTTCATTTACTTTTAATAATAATAATGTTTATTGCCTCGACAACAAATATTTACATATACATTCATAACAAATATAGACATCAAGACAAACGGATCAATTTATCGCAATAAGCGATATCTTCCAAGAGACCCAACTGGTAACAGTGTATATGTAATTTTAAATAAATAATTATGGCTACCGAAAAAGTAGTACTAAATGATGTGCTAATAAAACTGAGCGAATGTGAACTGTCAGTTACTACAAGGAAGGAAATAGACACAAAAAAGGGCAGCAAAAGATAGATGAAAAGCAGACTAGAGAAGAAAACAAACACATATAGGTGAAGAAGAAGATAGTTGAAGAGATAACAGAAAAGGCATTTTTAAAACTTATTAAACTAGCTGCATTGCGAACAACGGCAGGCAAATCGATCCACAACGCAATCGATTGCACTGTAAAAGATCTGTGGTAGTTTTCAGTATCTATGGACTGGAAACATGAGCGTAGAGTCCGACATTGATCGAGTGGGCAAGTCATGTGATGCTAAAAAGTGAAAGGCATCAGACAAATAAGCAGGAGTGCGAGTATGGACAATCTTGTATAACATAGTAAGCATACGAAATGATTTACGACTCTGGCAAGTCATCATCTGCAAGTACGGTAAAGAGATCGTTGTTAAGATGCAACAAATCATCTGGGAGGTTGTTAACAGTTGACGAAATATAAAGTTGCAGGTGATCTGCATACAAATGATAGTGACACGAGATACCATCACTAATACTATTTATGAAAATTGAAAAGAGCAAAGGACCCAGCACATTGCCACATTTGATGTCAACAGGAGAAGAGAGTACAGATTCCACGTGGACACGTAAAGACCGATAGGAAAGGTAGAACTGGAACCAAGATACACAAGAAGAGGTAAAGGTAGTCTAGTTAACAGGAGGACATGGTCCACAGAATCAAAGGCCTTACTAAAATCAAGCAGATCTAATATTATCGGTGATCTTAATCAGTGCTGTAGGACCTTGTTAATCAGATTAAAATCAGATTTTGACAACGTAGATAGAATAGAAATGGGTCGAAAGTCACCAACATGGGACGGAGATTTAATTTTTGGGATAGGAATAACATGGGCGATTCGCCAGATTGACGGAAATATAGACTATTTAAAAGAACAGTTGAAAATATGTAATAATTATATCCAGAATGGGTAAGAGAAAGCCGAATCCAATAGCATCTGCTCCGACACTAGTGGACTTGGAGTAAGTTAAAGCATTCCGGACTTCAGCATCTGTAACCAAGGTGAATGAAAAGGAAAGCACGTTGGTAGATGCAAGGATTTCACTAATAGTATTTTGCCTAGTTATGTTACCAACCACCACAGGAGGATCCGCAAAATACTCCGCAAGAGCAGCAGCTTCAAAAGTGGGTTGATCTGTGTGACTCTATAACACCAAGAGATCGCATTGTTGTCCAAAATGTCTTATGAGTGGCTCCAGACAACCTTTGACAGTAGTGCAATCTTTTAACGTTTTTGCATCGATGATTACAACGGTTGCGCAGCACACGATAATGTTCCCGATTGGCAGCAGAAGGGCTACGTTTGAACAATACCTTAGCACGATTGCGGAGCATGCTTGTCATAGAGGTCAAGAACCTTGCAATTAAAGTACTCCATCTTAGCATCTATGTCAGGCAATCGGTAAAGTGGTTGCCAATCAATTTCGCTCGCATCAGACATCAATAACCTGCAATCTATACTTTGAAGATCACGGTGGATCACAAAGCGCCGGGAAGCAGCCTGACGTCGTAACTGCAACGCGCAGTAAATTAGTCAATCAAGCATCTACTATTGCACATCATCTTATTTTTGAAACAAGTACACCTTTTTGTACTGCACTGAAATTTTGAAGGCTGGCACTGGCATTTTGACATTTTAACGAAATAAAGCATTCCTGGTGTTGGGTTGGTTTAAAGAGCTATTTGCCTGAAAACATTTTAGCCATATGCTATTTGCCTAGGAATGTAGAATTTAGACTGAAATAAATAGAATAAAACTATTTGCCTAGGCAGATAGTATCTGAAACAACCATTTGCCTGCGACATATACATCAAAATCAGCTTTGAATCTAAATGATGTTTCCCTGCATTTTTATCCGTCATCACTTTAAAATTATATCAACGTGTTAAAATCACCACTAATTTAAATCACATGTCAATTACTGATGCTCTTGCCTTAACCATTAAATAACCAAATTGTGTTGATTTAATTTTGAGAAAATCTAAATGTTCCTTCATAAAAAGATATGTCCTCGAAATCGCATTAAAACCTTAATCAACGCTTAACATGATGCTAATTAAGCGTTAACCTAAAGTTATCGTCATTTTAAAATCAAACGATATTTTAATAACCATTAATATACTCGATTCCATTATTTTTTACTGACGAAACACATCATCCGATTTCATTTTTATTAAACCGACTAAATTAATATGCTTCTTCCATTTAACAGATTATATTTTAACACTCAAAAAAATCAATTTTAATTAATTATTAATTTATTGTTATGCAGTATTAACTACGTGAAAGTATGAAAAAAAATCTCGTGCTCACCATTTATTTAATTAAGTTAAAATTAAATAACTAGAAACAAGTATAAAGTTGGTTTCTAATTATTATACAATTTTACAAAATTATATATATATATTATTAAACTAAAAGAAAATCTATGTTCACATAACTAATCTAGTCTAGAGAGGCTAACGAAGAAGAAAAAGATTTTAATTAAAACGAGAAAGATACATCTACGTGTAGAATGCTTTAACTGTTGTGATAAAAACGATGTAGGTTTAAAAGAAATATTTTTTTTTGTACATAAACGAATATATTGTATACATATTAAAGGACAAAAAAGCTTTTTAAACGATATATTAAAAGATGTTTAGAAAAGAAAAAATATATAATATGATAAAAATATAAATATTAAACCTCTTCAAAAATCTTGCCCAAGGAATTAGTACAAAAAATATTGTAAACTTTTCCTTCCGACCAAAATGATAGAAAAATATTAAATCTATGGACCATATTCTGAGATAATTAACGCTGTGGCCCTTTTTTTTAATTAATTTAACCATTTTTTTAAATTTAAATTAAGACCCAAATATATAAAACTTTAAAACCTGGTGAGTTTGTACATAATCGTAGAATATTTGAATTGTATTAAAATTTCAAAACAACAAAATAATTAGTATTTGTAAATTAGAAGCTTTATCGTGTAGAAGTTCCTAAATAAGTTATTCTTTTTTCATTGAACCTAAATATTCGACTTATTAACTATAATAGTATATATTTATACCTTTCTATTTATTCTTCCCAAAAAAAAAAACAATGCCCTTCAAGTGCCTTTACTCTTCTACTGATATTTTTGATTATTTTTTTTATTTAATGTAATTTGTAGCGCACCGTCCTTATACTATTAAAGAAAGTTTAAAAAATAAAGTTGTATAACAGATATTAATACAAAATAAATTATTATTATATGTGATTAAATAATCTGGATTTTATTTTATTTCCTTATTCTTTGATCTTACATAATGGAAAGAAGATAAAATCATTAAAAACTGCAACTTGTTGTAAAGAGAATAAGACTCCATTAGATCCGACAATAAGTACTTCTGCAGAAAATAATAAATCATCTAATTGAAGAAAATCTTTTAACAATTCAGCAACATGTCTATCAAAAACAGAAATCAAAACTAATTGAAATGGTGATTCAGTAACGTCTTTGACATTGATAAAAAGTTGCAAAAGTATGGAATTAGAGAGAATGGCTTAAAAATATATCATACCTTCAATCTAAACCAATGGGATGGTGTAAATTACGGATGGAATGTAAGGAAAGGATAGGATCAGGTTTCATTTTTGGACTTCAAAACATACCCTTCAATTCTGCATATGCCAATGACATATCATTTTCTGACATGTCTATATCCAAGTATTTTCATACTAAAGCAAACTTGGTATCAAGACTCCCAAAGTAGCTCACCTACCTCAACTTAACACCTCTTTTGCTTGGTCTAAATCAAAGTCCGTTGAGTAAACAAATTGTATAAGGTTATCACAGAAAAGTAGTATAGGTTATCCAACTCCATATGACAGATATGACAGCTGTTGTTATGAACGTACCCCTCCGCAAAGGCCTTGCTATGACTTCATTGGAAGAATTGACTAAAAAGCATAGAAATGCTTTTATTTATACAATGTATTTCACTTAAGAAGCAATACACAAAAATATAAAAAAAAAAATATAAAATAAAATTAAAATATAAAACGAAATATTAACGGTTATACTTTTATTATTGTTAGGTTATCCAACTTGACTCGGTTGCCATGGTGATTAAGATCAAAATATTGCAGGTGCTTGTCAAAATTGAAATTGAATTTAAGTTTTTTTTTGAGGAAAACGTCTTATTTAATTAGTTTAAAAAGCTGTATTTAACTCAAAATTGCTTTATCTAGGGAATTATAAACAAGGTAAGTGGATTAAATCAAAAAAAGATATTTTTAATCATTTCTCTTAATTAGAATTGATTTAAATTAATTACAATTAACGAATTTGTTATGAATGCGAGATAATCGTAAATTCGAATTGTTTTAAAATTAATAAAAATTAGGTTAGAATTGATAAAAAAATCGGAATACAAATTTTATTATTTTAAGGTTATCCAACATGACTCGGTTACCATGGTGATTAAGATCCAAACATTGCAGTTGCTTGTCAAAATTGACGTTGAATTTAAGTTGTTTTAATGAAAAACACATAATTAATTGGATTTAAAAGTTGTATTTAATTCAAAATGGGTAAATGGATGAAATTATAAGTAAGGCAAGTGGATTAAATCAAAAAAAATATTTATAGATCAACTAGAACTAACACTAGACCTAGAACTAGAAACAGTCGGGTTTAGTCGCGAAAAAAAAATTTCAGTTGTCAATGTCAACTTTAATTTTATTATTATATTGGTAATCTTCATAAAATAACCTTTAAAGTGAGTCCAAACTTGACGCATTTATCTCAAAAAACCAAAATGTTCGAACTTTTAATTTTGACATTTTTGTCAACTTCATAAAAAATCCTTTAAAATGAGTCTAAACATGACGCATTTATCTCAAAAAACAAAAGAGTTTGAATAAAAAAACGTTAAACCCGAAGTTAGCAACAATGAAGACAACAATTTAATTATTAAATATTAATACCAACCTTAATTTTTAATTTTTTTTATTGTATTTTTGTATTTGTGATAAAGTTTAAGACATTTTATAAAAATTAAAAATTTGTCAAAATGGCATTGACATTTCAAACCGGAAGTTGCTTACATCTCGACTAATATTGGAATTAAACGTATGTTTGGGCTCATTTTAAAGGATTTTTCACGACAATTACAAATATGTCAAAATTGACGTTGACATTTCTAACCGGAAGTTGACCATAACTTCATTAATATTGAAGATAAATATGTTGTGTTTGTACTCATTTTAAAGGATTTTTAATGAAGATTACAAATATGTCAAAATTCAGGTTGACATTCTTTTATGATGTATTCTTTATTAAAAAAACCATTAAAATGAGTCCAAACATGATGTTGCTAGATATCACATCTAGAACTAGAATCATTCGGGTTTAGCCGCAATTAATTCAGCGATTGGTTATTAGTAGTCAAAAAAATGAAGTTATGTCAAATTGATCTCAGCATTATTTTATTTTTTGTGGTCAAACTAACAATTTGTTAGTTGTAAAATGTCAAGAGATAAGAAAGTTGTAGTTTTTCCCTTAACTTTAGAAGGCTATAACTTGGAGAAGACCAAAAAGTTATATGAAAGATTTTAAATCTTAAATCTTTTGGCATCAATTTAGATACATCCTCCTGTATATCAACTACAGAATTAATTAAATATTGATTAGCGCCATCTTTTGAAATATTTTAGTTTGCCACAATCCAGTTATCTTTAATTCCGCCACCTCTTGGTAACCTTCAAAACATTCCATCGATATTTCAAACCTGCAAACTCACCGAGGTTAACATCAGGTGTCGCTAATTTTAACAATAACCGAAGTATTGATGTATTCCCCGATTTACCACTGAAAATAAACAACTCGATTCTTTCGTATAAACTAAGAAAAGGGCTCGTTTACTTAAAGGTGTGTATGAATCAAAGCAGAACATTAACTGGAATGTTGTAGATGTTAAATGTAAAGTATACGCTTTCTTTTGTTAACAAAAAAAGCTACCGCGCAATTAATTGTTGCTCAGAATTTTTATCGCTTTTTGTTTTCCTTTAGCAATGTGATTTTTATTGCATGCGAATGGTTTTTATTACTTTCTAATTGAGATAGTGTTTATTTAAATAACTGATTGTGAAAGTATTAATTTTTTTTAATATGAAATGTACATGTAGGTTTTCTTTATGCTTCCATAGCAACCAAGTAATGCAAAATAACGATTATTTTAGTTAACTTTTTTAATTTTAGATTAATTTATTAAGTAGTTTAAAAAAAAATTGTTTATTTTTTTTTTGATCAAAGATAAGGCTATAAACAATTTCAATTCATTAAAAGGTTTACAGTGGGTATTTATTAAGCACACTTAGCCGAGCAGAATTTATTTTGCCATCTCCAATTGTTTGTGACGCACGTTATCCTCTTTATTTCGCGCGTATGGGAGTGTGTTTGTACCGATTTTCTTGTTATTATTTCATTGTAATTTATTTTGATTAATTATAATAACCGTATACAATGAAATTGAAAAAATCATCTCCGAAGAAAAGAAAAATGCACTTTAAAGGTAATATTAACAAAAAATTTATATTTTTTTAATAATTTTAAGATGAACAAAGGTTTTGATAAATAATCAAAAATTTAAGTTTGTTTTTAAAACATCTAATTATAAAAATAATTTTAAAACAATAAGATCTCAATCATTAAATTCGTCATTAACTTTTTGTTATCGTAATTAAAGGTTATCGTTTCTTTCTTGACGAAATTCATATATCGAAGAGAACTAAAAATAATTCGATTATCAAATGATCATGTTTCTTAATATGTTGTTTTGTAATTATTATCTTAAAACTATTATTTGTGATATTACAAAATTTCCAAAACCATAAAATTTTAAGAGTTGCATAATGTAACAATTAAAGGTCTTAATTGCAAAAGAAAACTGCGAGGTTGTAAGATATTGTTGTAAATTGAATAAAATGGTTTCTTTCTTTAACTAGTTACATCATACTTACATACAAGAGATGCACAAGTGAACGATGGCCCGTTCGTGACGTCACGCATGGATTTTTAACTAAAACTAGAACTAACACTAGATCTAGAACTAGAAACATTCGGGTTTAGTTAAGTTGATGGACTAGCAAAAGAGGTGCATGGTTGATGAGCTGCTCTGGGAGTTTTGATACAAAGTTAGTAAAGTATTGCCTTAGCGGTGCAGACGATATAGAACGGTGTAGATTCATTACTTACATAATTTGTGTCTTAGCCATAAATTTCTGGTCTTTGTTGAATTCCTTAAACGCTGAAAGTTAAAATAGAACATCTGAACCTGTTTTTTCTACCTGCGTGTGCAATTCCTCACATTTATAGTGGTGTACAAAAGTCTACATACAGCATTGAATTCTGAGGTTTTTGTTCAACGTAATAAGATAGAAAATTAGTAATTACAGTGTGATTAGAGATAGTTTTTAACTAAAAATATATTATTAGGTCCATGTAACGACTGTTTTTAAAAGTTGGCCCTCCGTGAGCTTCTAGAAGAGCACGCAGACGTCGTGGAATTGAAGCAACTAAGTTTATTGTCTCTTCTGCTGTTATTTCAGCCCAAGATTCGACTAACGCAGATTTCAGTGTTTTTACATCTATGATTTTGCATCTTACGTCCCAAAAGCTTCTAAGCATGCTCGATTGGATTTAAATCCGGACTCTGAGGAGATGTATTCAACTGCCTGGGTGCATAATATAACAACCAATGTTTAATAAGGTTTTGCTTGGAATATCCAGCGATCCTCGAGGGCCAAGCTTTCCACTGATGGCTTCAAATTTTGTTCTAAAATACTTGTATATTTATACCGATTCATAATTCCATCAATTAATGCCAGTTTTCTTATACCAGATGCTGCTGTTATGTATGCTGCCAAATTTTTCAACTCCATCGCCGTGTCTCGATTCCTAAAATCGTTGGACCAGAGATCCATTCCGTTATCGAAATGAGATTGAGCAAATTTTAGTTGAAAACAGCGATTTTTGCTCATTTCTTTTAATATGGAGCTAATATCTCTTCTAGAAAGTTTCTTTGGCCGGCCTGTACTAACTTTGCTAGCAAATGAATCAGTCTCATTGTAATTTTTGACGATGGTCAGGAGTGTTTCTCGGCTTAGTTTTACAATTTTGGCAATTTCAACAGAAATTTCTTTTCACTTTTCCGTAATTCCTATTGAATTAAGAAAAAAGAAAATGCAATGCCAGCTAATTTATGCAACTTTTACTTGATTCCTTTTATTTAAGTGCACAGTATGTAGACTTTTGTCGTGTTAATTTTTGCATTGTTTGTGAAATATTCGGGTTTAGCCGCACATGATTGAGGTTGGTTAACTGCTCAGACGATATAGAGCAGTATAGATTCGTTACGTTCATAATTTCTGTCTTAGCCTTAAGTTTTTGGTCCTCGTCGAATTTCTTAAACGCTGGAAGTGGCGATAGAACTTAATTGCTTGTTCTTTGTACCTACGTGTACAATTCTCCACATTTACAGTGGTGGACAAAAGTCTACATACAGCATTGAATTCTAAGGTTTTTGTACAACGTAATAAGATAACAGAAAATTAGTATTTCAAATTTCAGTGTTTTCGCTTCTGCATCTTATGTCCCAAAAGCACCCAAATATACTCAATTGGATTTAAATCCGGACTCTGGTGTATTTATAGCAATCAATGTTTGATAAGGTTTGCGGTATGCTTAGAATCATTGTCTTGCTGGAATATCCAGCGATCCTCGAGGGCCAAGTTTTCCACTGATGCATGGCTTCAAAATTTGTTCTAAAATACTTGTACATTTATACCGATTCATAACTCCATCAATGAATACACCAGCTGTTAAGACTCCCCAAACCATGACACCACCGTGCTTTAAGGTTGGTACCAAATTTTTCAACTCTATCGCCATGTCTCGTTTCTTCCAAATTTTTGACCGACCATCACTTCCAAAGTGGTTATACTTCGACTCGTCAGTAAACAAAACCCAACCCTGGACCAGAAATCCATTTCCTTCTCGAAATGAGATTGAGCAAATTTCCTCGAGATTTACCTCGGCCCAGGGTAAATACCCAAACAGTACATATAAAAGTGATAAAAATATAACAGATTCGGAAAAAAATTTAGAGGAAGATGATGAAATGGGTGTTGAAGACGAGGAATTGTCAACGATCGAAGACGTATTATAATCAGGCAACCACTACTCATTCTTCATTCTTGCGACGATGATCCGCCCAGTTCCACTTGAGCTTTGCCACAATGTTGACCACATCATTTACGCCAGTTCTTCTTCGTAGGTCTTCATTTCGTATGTGGTCCCTCAGGGTTACACCCAGCATCGACCTCGCCATCTTTGCGTTACTTTGAGCCTCCTGGTAATGGCCACCGTTAATGTTAAAGTTTCAGAACCGTATGTCATAATGATTGAAGGCTAATCTTAAGGCTAACGTAATGAGTTCCTAATTCCTGCCGTAGCCTTAAGATTTTGGTCTTCGTCCAATTTCTTCACGTGTTCTTTGTACCTGCTTGTTCAATTCGCCACATTTATATCAGATATGGACCATAACTCGCTAAAACATGGATAAATTCCTTTCTTCAGGTTAACATCACCACATCGTTTATACTTTTTATGCTATGTATATCAGTGAATAGTAATTTATCTGCAGTCTCTTGTTTTTAATTCTTGAATACTGGTTCAAGGATTAATGGTTTTGTGAGAATTTCTAAAGCGATGACATCATAGCATGTCTAAGACTCCGCCAAAATTGTTCTGTCTCCTCCTGTTAATCTTATCAAAGCATTGTATTGCGCACAGTACAGTTTGTCCTATAGGTTATAACATTCGCCATCATGACATAGACATATTCCACCCTATTCCCTATGAAATGCGTATTTACTTATTAATCGTGTCATTCACAGTCTCTTTCACATTCCTATTCCTGTCTGGCTTAGTACTTTCGGTGTCTACTTTAGGCATTCTTTAGTTCAACTTTTATTAATTCAGCTTGTGCCGTCGCCTGTAGTCATTAGTGCATCAGTGTTTTCTCTCAGGGCTTACTCTCAGCAAAAAATTCAACATCCCCAAGATGTCAAGCAAGTGAACATCGTCCTGTTTAACATCGTTATGGATATATGGCTTTCGCTGATGACTTGGCTCAAGAGATGAAATCTTTTAATGTTTTGGTTGGACTCGTTGGATGATTTGGGATATCGAGCAGAATGTGGAACGATCAGATTTTTTGGGGACGTGGATTTGAAGAATGTTGTTTTTGGTAGCACAAAATTCTTCACTCAGGGAGAGAAATGTTTGACTTTTGGAGAGATGCCTACGACAAAATCAACAAATCCACACACACGGATTTAATCCCTGTAAAACCTATGGCAAGAAAAGAAGCAGTATCAAAAAATCATGATTAGAATAAACCATGATTAATCTGACTATAGCTATAACTTGAAAGTTTCCTGTACAACGTTATGGAAATACAGTGATCCTATTCCTGTCTACTTTAGTACTTTCGGTGTCTACTTTAGGCACTCTTTACTTTTTAGTTCTAGTGTTAGTTCCATTTTTAGTTCAATAAAAATATACAACAATCTAGCGCTGAATGACAATTAAAAATAACAAAACCTAACTGAGTGTGGCGTAATTTCTTAGAAAAATTTCTTATCTAACAATATTAATTATAAAAACTTTAATTGTAATAATATAACAAAATTTTTTTTAGGATTAAAAATGTTATGTGACTTCGAAGAGGATTCCTCTTCATCGGGTGGTGAATCAACACCAAGAAAAAAGGCATCTAACACCCAATTAACTCAACACAACCCATCGCTTCTATCCTCTCTAAGAAGTGTTCTGATCGTTATCAGTTCAGCTTTGATATGTTTTGCCGCAGCTAGAAACACCATAACATGGTATTAATCTAATATAATATTTTGTTTGTTTGTAAAATTTTAATTTATTTATTTTTAATTAATTTAAGGCATTGTCAAAAATTTTGGGGTGCTTCCGGTGATTTTTGGCAAGCACAATGGGATAAATTTTTGAACGCAATAGGAGAGGATCCTTTTACTTTATGGGTTTATGGAACTCTTTTTTTAATAGCTGGAGTTTATTGGATTTTCGGTGGAATTTACACCCTTTTAGACATCACCAATAAACCCGATTGTTTGCGGAAATATAAAATTCAACCCGGTACAAACGAACCGGTTGATAATAAGCGTCTATTAAACGTAATGTGGTGCGTTTTGGTTAACCAATTTATCGTTGGACCTCCAATAGCTTATCTTATGTACCATTTAATGCAATGGAGAGGACATCCACCGTTAAGGGAACTCCCAACGTTTCATTGGGTTTTATATGAATTGGGGATTCACATTTTGCTGGAAGAAATTGGATTTTATTATTCACACCGTGTTCTTCACAGCAAATATCTTTATAAATACATTCACAAACAACACCATGAATGGACAGCTCCCATTGCAGTTACAGCCATGTATTGTCATCCTTTAGAGCATGTATTTTCGAATTTGTTACCACCGTTTTTGGGGGTTTTTGTTATGGGTTCTCATGTTGCCACAGCTTGGTTATGGTTCTCTTTAGCTATTTTATCAACTTTAAACGCACACTCTGGGTATCATTTACCATTCTTTCCATCACCAGAAGCACACGATTTTCATCATTTAAAGTGAGTTATTATTAAAAAATCATTATTTTTAATTATTAATAATTAATTGTTGTAGATTTAATAATTGTTTCGGTGTTTTGGGTCTTCTCGATCGTGTACATGGAACCGACACAAGTTTCAGGTCAACAAGAGCTTATCAAAGACACATAATGATGCTGAGCTTTGTACCACCAAGAGAAGCTTATCCAGATATGAATCAATGCAAGCACAAAATGGGGAAATAACGTCTTTAAACGCACGTTAATTAATTTAAGGAGGGTAAAGTTCTTTAATGGGACTTATTAATATTGACCAAAAAAAATATTATTCATTAAGACAAAAAAAAATAAATAAATAAACGTGTTTGTCATCTAAGGAAGTAGTAATTCTTATAAGTAGATCACCAAAACAATTTTTAATACGCTGTTATATTTCGATTTATTCTTTTTACATTTCGCTTTTTTACGAAACGTAAAAAAAATCTAAACACTATAATATAAACTGATAAAGTACTTTACTTTAAAGTCCTGCTTTATGACCAGGATTTAATTTAGAGGAAAGGTGGTAAATTGGTGAGATGGCGAAAAGTGATGATTTAAAAAAAATTTGAAGAGAAGAAATTTAAGAAAAAAATGCGTTGTGATTTCAGCTGTGAATAAAAAAAAATAATTATAAATGTGAAGGTTGATAAGATTGGAGAGGAATATAATTTTATATGTAAAAAATGGATACTTTTATGTATATTAAGAGAAATATGTATTGTGAACTCTTAAGCAATAAAATATAAGTAATTATTTCATATCTGTCTTTTATAAGGGTGCCCTTACAAACTTCCAAGACTTATTAGGCAAGACCCAGTACATTGCAATTCAAATCATTAGAACCAAAAGAACAAAAAGGAAACAGAATAGTTACACTTAAACTGCTTTATGAATAATGTTCTAGTAAACTCGCTCCATCACACCTGGTGTATCCGCAATCTATCCTGCAGCAACCGCTACTACAAAAGCTCCTGGAAATTCTCTTTCAATACGTTGTCTTGCACTGTGAGTAGCTTTCCATCCGTTTTCCCTTGGTTTAAACCTATTAATTAGGTTTAATTTAATTATTATGGCTGTAATCCTCCAGAATTATTTTTTCTTTCTTCTGCACAGTTTCGTTACATCTCTTCTTTGTACTGCTTAATCTTCCCATTTGCTTCCTATGATTGCTGGAGGATGTACAAACAGAGACGAGATGGCGATGGGTAATAGGATTGGCGAGGAGGACTTCAGGGTATGGACAGGAAGGATGAAAGCAAAGTACGTGAAAAGGATAGAAAAAAGATTCTGGGAGAGTGCTTGAGGTGAAATCAAGGAGAAAAGGTTGATATATAGGCAGAGAGCTAGGTAAGGATATTATAGAAGAGTGGGATATTCACTGAGATCGATAACAGAAGAGTGGACAGAACTGAAGTATAGAGACGTACAGAAACAGGAGAGGTCACAGATACGGGAAGGGAGATATAATGGAAGGTATGGGCAGATAGAGGAACTGCCAAAGTATCTGTCGATGGAAAGGAATGAGGAAGGGAAGACATTGGTGGCCAAATTCCGCTGTTGCAATGCTTCAACTTGCTGAGAGGGTGTAGTAAGCTGAGGGATGAGACGATGAACGGGAGGTAGATTTTGGGAGAGGAAAGTGAGGGCGAGAGATGGATAAGGGAGGTGATTGAGGCGAGGAGCCGAGGATGTGGAGATGGGGAGGAGGGTAAAGTATCAAAAATTGGAAAGACAAGGAAGAATTAGGCAGAGAGAAAGGAGACTGTAAAAAGGCTGTACAGACAAAAAAAAAAGACTAGGCATAAAAGTTAGAGACTTGAAAAGGACTAATAATTGTGGTACAAAAGTAAGCAAAGACTACAGAGAAAAGAATAAGTATGGCAGAAAGGGTTTAAAGTAGAGAGTGACGTATAATTGATGAAGAAGAGTTTGAAAAGAGAAGAAATTGATTGGACAGAAAGGCAAGAGACTGGTAATAGAAGAAAAAATGACAGAATTTAGATTTAACACATATAGAAAGAATAAATTGGCAATATTGGCACAAATAGATAAGAAATAATAAACGCAACGAGTAGTGAGGGGCAGATGGGAGGAGTGGTAATAGGAAGGACGAAGGTGCACGAGTTGGTGTATGCGGATGATTTGAAGGTCGTGGCAAGAGAGGAGGTGGAGATGAAGGGGATGATAAGGTCTCTGAAGAGATATTTTAAGAGATTGGGTCGCACATGAGAGCGATGTCAAAAAGAACGAACAGGGTGATGGGATAGGGTTGGGGATGGGGGAGAGAACTTTTAGGAGAGAACAAGGATTGCTAGAGAATGTACAAACAAGGTATGGGAGATGGGTACTAGGATTGGCGAGGGAGGAAGCTGTAACGGTGTCAGCTGGATGCAGAGCAGTCAAGTACGAGGAAAGGATAGAATTAAGACCGCATTGTAGGATCCTGGGAGAGAAGGTTGATATATGTGCAGAGAGATAGGGAAGGATATTATAGGAGAGTGGGATATTCACTAAGTGAGATCGACAACAGAAGAGTGGAGAAATGAAATGTGGGGAGAACTGAGAGATAGGGACAGGGACATACAGAGGAAAGCGAGATGGGAGATATAATGGGCAGATAGTGATAGAGGAACTACCAACTCAGTAAACAAGAAACCTCTGTGAAACATTTCAATTTTAACGTACAGTGAATTAAATGAAACATCTTAGAACTACGTTTCATATACGATTTTTACGAAACGTATCTAAAGATATGTATCAAATACATTTCAGTAGAAATATTTATGAAATATCATTAAAATATGTTGCAGAAACATTTCATTTGAAACATTTCGCTACAAATGTGTCTGAAACATGTCTGGAATATCTTCAGCACCGCCTGTGAACGTATGTACAAACATTAATTAATGTTTGTAAACAGAACTAACCTAAGGTAACATTCCTTCACGGTTTAATTGACAGTTCAAAAGAAAACTTCACGCTATGATTGGCATTACTAATTACTAAAGAAAACTTCACGCTATAATTAATGTTTGTAAACAGAACTAACCTTACCTAACATTCCTTTAAAAGCGTCTGTTGATGGAAGGGGATGAGGAAGGGTGGCCACATTCCACTGAGGCAATGAGGAGAAGTGGTGTAGGCTGTGTGGGGAGGATTGGGAGACACTGGAGCATTTGCTGAGAGGGTGTCGTCAGCCGAGGGAGGGAAGAGGCAGATTTTGACAGAGGGAAGATTGAGGCGAGGATGTAGAGGTTGGGGAGGAGGGTAAAGAGTATATTGTATAGAGGGTGTATTGTACTATATATATTTGACTACAATATTCTACTGTAATTAAATTGTAGACAATAAAACGCTTATTAATAAGCACAACGAGTGTAACAAAAAGAACCAGAAATTAAATTATAAAACACAAAAAAGAAGAACAGCAAAGACGATGAATTGAACCCAACTACACAAAAGCTCAGAAAACAATGGTAATACAAAGCTAACACAGAATATTAGTTAGTTAATTTTTTAATTTGGGAACTTTTTACATTTTCATTAGAATACCAAATGGAAGTTGAAATAATTGAATCAATATATTCTCATTGCTTAGAGGTAATTTTCCATATTTTGTGGGCTCAAACGTCCGACTCACGCATGCGCATACACTACAGTAATATTACTTGCTTACCTGTTATTGCAGTAATCCTCCAGAATTCTCTTTTCTTTCTTCTGCACAGTTTCGTTACATCTCTTCTTTGTACTGCTTAATCTTCCCATTTGCTTCCTATGCCTTTTTGCACTTTCATTTTTTCTCTTTATTGTCCTCTATTTTTTAGCGCACCATTCCTTTTTCATTCCTCTTTTAACTCGTCCAGTTGTCTCTTCAACTTTCCTCCTCCTCGACTTCATCAGACATTTTGTGCTTATTGACTTTTATTTGTATAGCTTTTTGGTGATTATCTCCAGTAGCAGTTCCAACCTGGCGACATTCTAATTTATGTTCAACCCTCCTTTCACCTTCTGCACATTACTAAAGCCCTGTTTTAAGCATGCTATTAGTAGGTGGCAATCAGAGTCACAATTTCTCCTCAGTCTGGTCTCAACCTCAGTTATAGAACCAAACATGTCGCAAAATATTGAACACACCCTAGGAATTAGTTAAGAAAAAAGGTATTACTAAGGATACAGCTTTGGAAGTAAATGGAAAAGCAGTTAAGAAGCATGGTTAAAGAATGGAAGCAGAATTTATGTGTTAGTAAAAATTTATTGTCTAAATAGTAATACATATCATAAGAAAATATAAACATATATCACAAGAAACTCATTGCCCAAAAAATTGCACCTTCTTCAACTCACAACCTTTAAAACTTCTCATATCAATATATTAATTAAAAATTACATGTATAACAATTAACAGCTTTTTATCTAAAAAAATATATCAAATCTATTTGGCTTTATAAATGCACATTAATTATTGTACATTCCATCAATAAGAAAATCCATTCTGCGATAATGTCTGTGTGACCACCATTCTTTTCCTCTTTTATATAAAATGTTAATAACAATAGCAACAACAGGCACTGATAATATCACTGCAACAATTGGAATAACAAAATCGGCTTTGTTAATTTGTTCTTTGTGCCTTTGGAAGTATTCAATGCTTGGGAATTTATCTGAAGATCCATTCTTTGATTTTTGTTCTATTTGGCCTTCATCATCTCCTCTAATTGTTACTGTAGGTTTTTTAGGTTTTGTAGGAACTGTGGTTGAACTAGGTTTTTCAGTTGTAATGTTTACTGGCAAAGATGTAATATTACTTGGTTTTATTGTACTTTCATTCAAAACACCTTTTCTACCTACAGTAACATGCATAGAACTTGCAGATGTAGAATTTGTTTCAATACTTTTTGTTGTTTTATTATTGTCAAGATGAGTTTGAGTATTTTCTAATTCTATAACAGGTTTCGTAATACTAGGTTTATTATTAATTTCAGGTTTGGTCCTATTTTCTTCTCTCACTGTTCCATTATCCGATACCAAAATACTTTTCAGTGGTTTTATAATCACCTCTTTCGATTCGTTTTTAATCGCGTCCTTGGTAACATTTTTAATATCAATTGGTTCCAAAATAGGAATTTTAATCGGTTCTGTTACGTTTCGTTCCGTTTCTCCCCATATTGGACGGAAAACAAGCAGTGAAACGATGCAAAAAATTAACGGAGATAAACGAAACATCTTTTATAAGTAGAACTTTCGTCGCACATTCAAAAAATAATAACTGAAACTAAAAGATTACGTATAATTCCGCGGAATTGTTGTTAACGTATAAACATTTTATTGATGTGACAGTGACAGCCGCTTAAATATTTTTTTTTTACATAACCTTGAAAGTTTGAAAACTAACCTTAAAATTAGTAAACTATTTGTTGTTGATGTAAATTGACGAAAATATTAAATTGTTTGTTAAATAATACTAAAAAAAATAATTATTTACCGTTTGAAATATCATTTTAACTTAGAAAATGAGAAAAAACAGTTTTTTGTATGACTTAATCAGTACAAAACTAGATGGCGCGATTGTTACAAATTTACTGTTTAATAATTTCAATAAAATTAATAAAAATTGATGTTGAAATTGACGAAAATATTAAATTTGCTAAATAATAATGAGAAAATAAACAATTATATACAGTTTGAAAATAATTTCTAAATGGATATGTATATAAAACTTGATTTGACAACGCTAGATGGCGCGACGTGAGTTTTTTAATGTTATTTAAAATGTTAATAATTTCAATAAAATTAATAAAAGCTTATTATTTAAAATTGTTTTTTTTCTAAATCTTTATAGACTTCTTCATATTGATTTAAGCATTTATGTGAATCGGAGAGCTCGATCAACATTTGTGTCATATTGTATTGAAAACTAATCTTAGAATTAGTAAACTATTTGATGTTGATGTAAATTGATGAAAATATTAAATTCTTTGTTAAATAATACTAAAAAAATAATTATTTACCGTTTCAAATATAATTTAAACATAGAAAATGAGAAAAAACAGTTCTTTTGTATGACTTAACCACTTCAAAGCTAGATGGCGTGATTGTTACTAATTTAATGTTTAATAATTTCAATAAAATTAATAAAAATTAATGATGAAATTGACGAAAATGTTAAATTGACTGTTAAAATAATAATGAGGAAATAAAAAATTACATACAGTTTGAAAATAATTTAAAAATGAATACATAACTTAATTTGACAACGCTAGATGGCGCTACGTCAATATTGTAATATTTAAAATGTTAATAATTTTAATAAAATTAATAAAAACTTAAAGGTTTTTTGAAATTGTTTTTTTTCTAAATCTTTATAGACTTCTTCATATTGATTTTAGCATTTACGAAGGAATCGGAGAGCTCGATCAACATTTCTGTCATATTGTATTGAAAACTAATCTTAAAATTAGTAAACTATTTGATGTTGATATAAATTGACGAAAATATTAAATTCTTTGTTAAATAATACTAAAAAAATAATTATTTACCGTTTGAAATATAATTTTAACTTAGAAAATGAGAAAAAAAAAACAGTTTTTTGAATGGCTTAACCACTTCAAAGCTAGATGGCGTGATTGTTACTAATTTAATGTTTAATAATTTCAATAAAATTAATAAAAGTTAATGTTGAAATTGACAAAAATATTAAATTCATTGCTAAATAATAATAAGAAAATAAACAATTACATACAGTTTGAAAATAATTAAAAAATGAATATGTATATATAACTTGATTTGACAACGCTAGATGGCGCGACGTCAGTATTTTAATATTATTTAAAATGTTAATAATTTCGATAAAATTAATAAAAACTTAAAGATTATTTCAAATTGTCTTTTTGCTAAAACTTTATAGACTTCTTCATATTAATTTAAGCATTTACGAAGGAATCGCAGAGCTCGATCAACATTTGTGTCATATTGTATGAAATAATGGTTCCTCAATTTTCTTCCCAATTCAAATCCTACGCTTATGATTCTATGATTCTCTCTAGAATCATTGTCTTCATCATGTTTGCTTGTTTCATGAATCATGTTAATAAAATCATCAGCTATTATTATTTCAATATCTGCCTCAGCTAAATCTTCTAAAGCTTCTCCTCCTATGGTATGGGCCAACTTATTGATCTGCGAATATTCATGTTCTGTTTGTTAATCATCAATGGTTTCATTCTGATTTTTCCTCAAATCCTTTGACATTATGGAACCATAAAAAGTTTACGCAAACTATAAAGATACCATAAAAACTATAAATGTTGAAAACTTACCAGTTCAAAAAATTAAAGCACAATAATATAAGCTTTGTGGATAAAATGATTCACACTATATACTTACATGAGATTACAGAGATTCCCCTAAATGTATATATATTTTACAACCTCGGGAATCCCCTGTTCTTTTCATCAAATTTTTGTATAGGTTGTAAGAAATTTAATTGCTTTAAATGTTAATTTATTTTAAAANAATAATTTCAATAAAATTAATAAAAATTGATGTTGAAATTGACGAAAATATTAAATTTATTGCTAAATAATAATGAGAAAATAAACAATTATATACAGTTTGAAAATAATTTCTAAATGGATATGTATATATAACTTGATTTAACAACGCTAGATGGCGCGATTTCAGTATTTTAATGTTTATTTAAAATGTTAATAATTTCAATAAAACTTATTATTTGAAATTGTTTTTTTGCTAAATCTTTATAGACTTTTCATATTGATTTAAGCATTTATGAAGGAATCGGAGAGCTCGATCAACATTTGTGTCATATTGTATTGAAAACTAATCTTAAAATTACTAAACTATTTGATGTAAATTGACGAAGATATTAAATTCTTTGTTAAATAATACTAAAAAAATAATTATTTACGGTTTGAAATATAATTTTAACTTAGAAAATGAGAAGAAGCTGCTTTTTACACGACTTAATTAGTTTAAAGCTAGATGGTGCGATTGCTACCATTTTAATGTTTAATAATTTCAATAAAAATTGATGTTGTTGAAATTGATGAAAATATTAAATTCATTGCTAAATAATAATGTGAAAATAAACAATTATATACGGTTTGAAAATAATTTCAAAATGGAATTTTTCAAATGGAATGTATATATAACTTGTTTTGACAACGCTAGATGGTGCGACGTCAGTATTTCATAAGCTTATGATTCTTGCTGTGAACGCAACTGGTTCAGATTTCTCTTCATCTGAATCATAGTGTTCATCATGTTTGTTTGTTTCATGAATCATCTTCATTCAGTTCTTCATCAGCTAATATTTCTTCAATATCTGCCTCAGCTAAATCTTCAAAACCTTCTTCTCAAGGTTTCAATGGTTTCATCATATAATCGCCTGAAGCATTGCAGCAGAGAACTGTTATACGACTTTTCACTAGCTGATTTGTGAGCTTTGGCCACAGAATATTAGCGTCGTTTTTAAAGCTTCCATATTATTTACGTTTAGATGATTAGGGTGCCGTCTAGCCGATCGCCTGGCAGACATAAACACAATAGGTATGTTTTATTTTTTCTAAATTTTATTGTTTAGATCTTAATGTATTTTGGTTAAAACTGATTCATCATACGTTCCTCATTTTGTTCATATTGTCTCATAGATCTGTCATTCTGTGTCCGAAAAGGCCCACAATTTTTCCAGAACAGACATATTCATGATTTTTCTAAATCTACTAGGCAATATAACGATTCAAATAGAAAAATTAGTACAAGGAGTTTATCGCAGTCTGTTTTTATACGTTCTTTGCAGAATAGAGAAACAATAAACAGAACGTGGTTAATATATTCTCCTGCAAAAACTACAGTCTCTCTCTATATTCAAATCATCATTAATTTTTTTAGCTTTTTCAATAATCATTGGTCCTATTTATTTATGCAACTGAACCATTTATTCAAGACGCTGTTCAGTTGTTACAGCTTAGGTTAGGATTTGAATTGATATGTGAATGATACATCGCAATCAAGTTGAACTACTGGAATATGTTGGCTCTTATCCTTAATATTAGTGTTTTCACTTTAAAGTTAAACCACGATTCACCTAAATATTTGGTAAATGTAGGAACAAAATTTACAAACTACATCAAATTCCTAGTTTTTAATCGAACAATAAAAGATAGTATGATAAAAATATTGCAAATTTATCTTAAAATCTATAATTACAGGTTTATTATGTTATAACCCTATGATTTGGAAGGCAATTAAAAAGAGATAAGGGCAAAATTGTCCCTTTAAAAAATATACGTCGTGTGAATATCGAATTAGTGCGGGTATTATTGGGTAAAGGGGTTGAAAATTCCAAAACTGTGACATATAATTTTCTCTCTATCGCGTTCAACATTATCCACACACGCACAGTTTTGTCAATGACGTTCATTCACACAGTGTATCCTCAACAAAAAAGTTTTGAACTAAAAAAAATTTGAACGATATCTCGTATTTGTAAAAGTAAAACACTACAGGGTATTGTCGTTTTGACCTTGCGTAATATCTTGTATTGGACAAACATAACCGAATAATTCTTAGATTGATGTGTCGTGAGAACACGATAAGGTAGTAAAATATTTATTGATGTTTTATTATTTATTTGTAAAAACTCTTTTTAAAAAATTTTTAGGAAAAAGATGTTCGCCAGAGAAGATGTTAGTTTTTAAACTTTGACCACGAGATATGCTGATCATAAATGGTGATTATAAAGAGCAGCAAAGTTTTGGACAAGGTTATGGAGTTATGGACAGTTTTATAACTCAACTGCGTGCTACTTTCGTGAAAATGCCAAATAATGAAGAGTATGTGGCTTCATATTAAAACAGAAATCTCAGCTTTTCTTTTGTTCATGTTTCTGTAAAATTATGTAAAACATTAATTTATAATCATCAAAAAGAAATAACCCATAATTATATTCTTAATCTTAAAGAATGCAATTTCAAAAAAAAAAAGGAGGAAAGAAGCTGGGTGTTGCGGCCAGGTGCAAAAGAATATAATTTTCAAAAAACGCATGCGTACAAGCTTCAAAACACATCCATAAACGTGACGCACACTCACCGTAACATAACCAATACATGCGTAGAAGTGAAGACAAGTTCGGTTCGTTTGAAAACGTTCGTTTCGAATTCATTCCGTACCGGTCTTCGGTTGGGTAAAGAAGTGTTCGGGTTTGGTCTCCTCAACACACGAAAAAGTTCTCGTTTTTAAGTGCGCGATCTTTTCTAATTTCTAACAATGGATATGGCATGTTTGGAAATTCCCGGAACTGTCCAAGGCGATAAGGATTTTACAATTCTCTCCGATCACCGTGTCATTAAAAATCTCCTAGAAGCCGAAAAAGCTTACATACCTTCAATGAATTACTTTATCATTCAAAGTGACATCAAACCTTTTATGAGAAAAGTTGTTACTCAATGGATGTTAGAGGTAATTTATTGAAACTTATTGATAAAACAAATCTTACTTTTAAATTTAAAAATTTTTTTCTTAGGTTTGCGAAGAACAAAAATGTGAAGATTCCGTTTTACCCTTGGCTGTCAACATCATGGATCGGTTCATGTGTGCTTGTGTTATTAAGCGGCAGGATTTTCAACTTTTGGGGGCAAGCTGTCTTTTGATCGCCTCCAAATTGAGATGTTGCAATCAATTGGGGGTCGATTTATTGTGTGCTTACACCGATAATAGTGTTACCCCAGAAAATATTCAGGTAAGTGTCAAATTTCAAGATCACGACACATAGTCTAAAGCTTAAGACAAGTTTTAACAAGTCCAAGGTCATTTTTTTCCATATACAATTTTGTTTGCAAATATTCAACCATAATAAGAAATATTACAAATGATGAACTCATGAAATTGCCAAAGAGATCAATTATTTCATTCTGTACAGTTCGTCAACTTTGACGTTTATCGCTGTTTGAATGTTCCATGAATTAAAGGCATATATTAAGTCGCAAATTAGATTAGTGTTGAGGAATGTATGGAAAGGCGTTGGCAATAACCTTCATTTCCCATTTGAAGAGTCCTGACATCATTTAGACAATTTTATTTTCTGCCCATAAACTTAATTTCCAATTTTAGATTATTGTAGCAATCATAGTGCCTTGTATAAAGGAATTCCAGATCTTGTATTTGCTTAATCGAACCACCATCATACATAGAGCTTAATTTAGTTCTCGACAATAACCAAAGATTTGAAACTCTTTTGACTGATTTGGTCAATCTTTGCTTTCTTATTGCCATTGTTACTTCAGTGAACATGGATGCAAGATTATACCTTAAAAATACCTTTTAATGGCTTCAATTGCTTCAAGAACCTCTCAATTACTCCCAATACCTATCAATGTTTACCAAAACTTCCTATTGTTTGGTGCATGTCCTGATTTTGACACTAGAGGCTAAACCATTGTCTCTGCCTCTGACTTTAAACTAGAAAAAGTAAGATTTTTGAGTAACTCAATTTCTTTTCAAAATTTGTAGCAAATGCAAAGACGTTGCAATAAATTTCGTTTCAAGTTTTTTAGAAGATCCGTGCCGTTCATATCGATTTTCTCAAATTCTCTTTGGGTACTTTCCATAACCTGACGATAAAGATTTTTTTGGTCAATTCAGATTTTAACAAAACATTCTTTGAGGTCTTTAATTTAAAACCGGTCGAGTTAAAATATTTTAATAAGATATTTATAATTATTGTCTTCCTCTATCTCCCCATTGAATTCATAATCGTGAAAATCTCTTACAATTTCCATTCTTTGAAAGGAAATAGGATGCAAGGTGAGTTAAGCACCCCTTTAACCACTACGACGTCTTCCCGAATTAAAGACGGCACGCGACCGTCGTCAAGTAATCGACTAATTATTGTCACGGAAATCTTAGTGGCCCCATTTTTATATCCGGTCGACATCGTGTCGTCGCGATCTTATCTGAATCGCATTTACAGACGAAATAAAATACGTATTTCTTAGAATTTTGTTTTATTGGTTATCAAAAAAAGTTGATATTTTTGCAGATGATTTTCTCACGATGTAGTGAGAAACGATTTTAACGGGTTTCTTACGCTTGATGAGGTAATAGAAAAAGGAGAAAAGGAATAGGGAAGTCACGGTTTTGTAGGTTTAACGACGACCATACGGCGAATTCGTGCAAAAAGTTATTATTATTTGTTGAATCCCCCTGACCCCGTTCTAAATAAGAAAAGATGAGACGGGAAAAGAAATGGGGTCTTCTGTTCCGGTTTCTTGTAGGGTCGGGATCTTTGTATTGTTGTATTATGACCCACCTTTCCGGAACTTAGGGTCCCATATCGGAATCTGGGAGCTAAAGATTTTAAATTATGTGAGAAAATTCTTAATTATATGTAATATTATAAAATTGAGGTGTTAAAGAATAATAATAAGTGTTTTTGAATGTGGGTTTGATTACAATAGGAAATAGAGAGAGTTAAGTGAGAGTTCGTAGAAAATATTCCCACAGACTTTTTCTGCAGCTTGCCTCAGGGTGTAAACTTCACCCTCCGTTCCTATTGTAACTGAGAAGAATACCGAAAAAAAGGCAACAAGGGTTTTCTATAATTTTTTCCCATACCCACATGTTTACTTGGACCGAAAAAATGTCACATGTACCTGTATTGGACATGCAAAAGTGGTTTTGCGACCGCAGCACCAATTAAAAACTCGTTATCGATGAGCCCCAAAACAAATATATACACCAACCAGTTGTTTAGATCCATTTCATAAATTGTTTGTAAGCATACTAATTTTTTTTTTATTTTCTTATCTCTTGCAGAGTTGGGAGTTGCTGATTTTGTCAAAATTGCAATGGGAGATGAGTGCTATAACGGGGTTCGATTACGTGGATCAAGTAATCGGGCGGTGCTCCTGGGGCAACGACAGCACCCTTCTCAGACGACATTCCAACACGTTGGTCTCCGTTTGCTATACGGGTAAGTTTCTTGGAATATCACCGATCGAATTATACCAGGAGGTGCAATTAGGTTTAATGAGATTGTATTTTACGCGCTCGCAATTTATGTCACATTCTTTTATTTTACAAGGTAATTATGCACGTCGCGTCGTCAACAATTAGTTCTCAAACTTAATTTTCGTACCTTATTTAGAGTTTTTTTACAATGGTAGATTTCGCTTTAGGAATTTTAATCTTTAACAGTGAACATTAAGAGTAAATTGCGTGTGATAGTAATTTTTGAGAAGAAAAACATTTAAAAAAAAAGCGTAAAGTATTTTTACTCGATATAATTTTGTTTGTGTAATGGTCTACACTCAACTTTTTTCCATAATCCATAATAACCATAATCTCATCTTGGTTTGTATCTGCTGTGTTTGTCAAATCCCCAGTTGCTTATTAAAATTAAGTTTCTTATTTTCTCTTCATGATTTCATATCATTAAGATTTAAAATCAATTTTATTGTCATGTGATCCATTAACTTCTGAAATCACTGGAGAAAACTGATTGGGGAAAACTGGATTTTCAAAGATCAATTCAGTCATAACTCGAAAACTAAAAGCGATGGGGAAATACTTTTTATACATAAAATCTTAATAATGGTCCATAAATACTAAATCCATAAAAAGATTGAACCCAATTATAATCATTCTTTATTTAGAAGCTTTAAATCGACTAAACGTCGAAATTGTTAATTTTCGAAAATTCATTCAATCATAACATAATAACTAAAAGCGATGGGGAAATACCTTTTATACATAAAGCTTTGATAATGGACTATAAAGACAAGATCCATAAAAAGATTGAACCCAATTAGAACCATTCTTTATTTAGAAGCTTTAAATCGACTAAACGTCAAAATTGTTGATTTTCGAAAATTCACTCTATCATAACTTAATAACTAAAAGCGATGGGGAAATACTTTTTATACATAAAGCTTTGATAATGGATCATAAAGACAAGATCCATAAAAAGATTGAACCCAATTAGAACCATTCTTTATTTAGAAGCTTTAAATCGACTAAACGTCAAAATTGTTGATTTTNCCTTCTCAGACGACATTCCAACACGTTGGTCTCCGTTTGCTATACGGGTAAGTTTCTTGGAATATCACCGATCGAATTATACCAGGAGGTGCAATTAGGTTTAATGAGATTGTATTTTACGCGCTCGCAATTTATGTCACATTCTTTTATTTTACAAGGTAATTATGCACGTCGCGTCGTCAACAATTAGTTCTCAAACTTAATTTTCGTACCTTATTTAGAGTTTTTTTACAATGGTAGATTTCGCTTTAGGAATTTTAATCTTTAACAGTGAACATTAAGAGTAAATTGCGTGTGATAGTAATTTTTGATAAGAAAAACATTAAAAAAAAGCGTAAAACATTTTTACTCGATATAATTTTGTTTGTGTAATGGTCTACACTCAACTTTTTTCCATAATCCATAATAGCCATAATCTCATCTTGGTTTGTATCTGCTGTGTTTGTCAAATCCCCAGTTGCTTATTAAAATTAAGTTTCTTATTTTCTCTTCATGATTTCATAGCATTAAGATTTAAAATCAATTTTATTGTCATGTGATCCATTAACTTCTTCAATTCTGCTTTCCTGAAGAAAACTGGATTTTCGAAGATTAACTCAATCATAACTCAAAAACTAAAAGCGATGGGGAAATACTTTTTATACATAAAGCTTTGATAATGGACCATAAAGACAAGATCCATAAAAAGATTGAACCCAATTAGAACCATTCTTTATTTAGAAGCTTTAAATCGACTAAACGTCAAAATTGTTGATTTTCGAAAATTCACTCAATCATAACTCAAAAATTAAAAGCGATGGGGAAATACTTTTTATACATAAAACTTTGATAATGGACCATAAAGACAAGATCCATAAAAAGATTGAACCCAATTATAACCGTTCTTTATTTAGAAGCTTTAAATCGACTAAACGTCAAAATTATTGATTTTCGAAAATTCACTCAATCATAATTCAAAAATTAAAAGCGATGGGGAAATACTTTTTGTACATAAAACCTTAATAATGGTCCATAAATACTAAATCCATAAAAAGATTGAACCCAATTATAACCGTTCTTTATTTAGAAGCTTTAAATCGACTAAACGTCAAAATTGTTGGTTTTCGAAAATTCACTCAATCATAACTCAAAATTTAAAAGCTGCAGAATCCTAAAGAGGCGCCTCAGGATTTATATTGAAGAAGAACTGTATACACAAAATCTCATTTTCTACTTGCTCTGTATAACTGATAATCTGAATACCTAGTTTTCTTGGATATGCATTCTGCGTTTGATGAGGCATCAAGGCAAGAGGTCCTACAAATGATGCATGCCATCAGATCCATGTTCCAGTGAGTGGAGGGAGCGACCTAACGGGAAGACCAAATGAAAAAAGGCTAGTTTATATCTATTGCTACTTCTAGTTTTTGTTGATGAAGTGGTAAAGAGATGCAAAAGAAACTTCGGTAGTCGACATGCTCAACCTCAGACCGATCATGTGGCTAGACAGTGAGAGATAATGACGCAGGTTGCGGCCAGCCGAGGGAAGACTATGCAGCAGTTCAAGGGTTTTGTTGGAAAGAGGGAAAAGCACTTTAATATTTGAATATGTTTTATCTCATGGGAAGGTGGGAAGTATATCAATTAGTATAGAACTTTGATGATCACCAGATTTGATTGCCAATTTCTGTGAATTTTAGTCAGCTTGGGTTGCCTCCAATAATAGCTCTTGGTGACCTGCCNATAACTTAAAAACTAAAAGCGATGGGGAAATACTTTTTATACATAAAGCTTTGATAATGGATCATAAAGACAAGATCCATAAAAAGATTGAACCCAATTAGAACCATTCTTTATTTAGAAGCTTTAAATCGACTAAACGTCAAAATTGTTGATTTTTGAAAATTCACTCAATCATAACTTAATAACTAAAAGCGATGGGGAAATACCTTTTATACATAAAGCTTTGATAATGGACCATAAAGACAATATCCATAAAAAGATTGAACACAATTATAACCGTTCTTTATTTAGAAGCTTTAAATCGACTAAACGTCGAAATTGTTGATTTTCGAAAATTCACTCAATCATAACTCAAAAATGAAAAGCTATGGGAAATACTTTTTATACATAAAACCTTAATAATGGTCCATAAATACTAAATCCATAAAAAGATTGAACCCAATTATAATTACACTTTATTTAGAAGCTTTAAATCGACTAAACGTCAAAATTGTTGATTTTCGAAAATTCACTCAATCATAACTCAAAAACGAAAAGCTATGGGGAAATACTTTTTATACATAAAACCTTAATAATGGTCCATAAATACTAAATCCATAAAAAGATTGAACCCAATTAGAATCATTCTTTATTTAGAAGCTTTAAATCGACTAAACGTCAAAATTGTTGATTTTCGAAAATTCACTTAATCATAACTCAAAAACTAAAAGCGATGGGGAAATACTTTTTATACATAAAACCTTAATAATGGCCCATAAATACTAAATCCATAAAAAGATTGAACCCAATTATAATCATTCTTTATTTAGAAGCTTTACATCGACTAAACGTCAAAATTGTTGATTTTCGAAAATTCACTTAATTATAACTCAAAAACTAAAAGCTGCAGAATCCTAAGGATTTGTATTGAAGAAGAACTGTATGAGGGGCAGGCGAATTTTAGATCAGGACGACAAACACAAAATCTCATTTTCTACCTGCTCTGTATAATTGATAATCTGAATACCTAGCTTTCTTGGGTATGCATTCTGCGTTTGATGAGGCATCAAGGCAGGAGGTCCCATAAATGATGCATGTCATCAGGTCCATGTTCTAGTGAGTGCAGGAAGCGGTGAGGCTTAACGAAAAGACCTCTAATATGTCCGTCATGGAAAAAGGACAGTTTATACCCATTGCTATTTGTAGTTTTTATTGATAAAGTGGTGAAGAGATGCAAGAGAAACTTTGATAGTCGACTTGCTCAACCTTAGACCGATCATGTGGCAAGACAGTGGGAGATAATGACGCAGATTGCGGCCAGCCGGGGGAAGACTATGCAGCAGCTCAAGGGTTTTGCAGGAAAAAGCACTTTAATATTTGAATACTTTCAGATAAATCAAAAATCATGTTTTATCTCGGGAAGGTGAGAAGTATATCAATTAGTATAGAACCTTGATTCTATACTAATTGATATATTCTGTGAATTTTAGTCAGCTTGGGTTGCCTTCAATAATAGCTCTTGGTGACCTACCTACATCATGATTCTTAAAGTATCTCTCAGCCAAAGAGCAACATAACGACTGAGTGCGAAGATAATTGATTAATTCCTCAATAAGGTTGTAAAGCTATTTTGTCATCTTTATCCATAATTTGGCCATAATTAAATTGACCGAAGACATTGGTTTTGTAATCATTCTCACGGTAAGAATCTTGAGAGAAAGTGACCTTAAATTATACCGCTTTCGCTACATACTTAAGGTTAGACCCTGTATTGGTATACTAAATTCCTTGAATCAGTTTTTTTTAAATGAATATTTAAAGTTGAACTAATTTTAATTCAACAATTTAATCAATCATAGTTTTGTCCTTCATTTCATATACGAAAGCAAAACCATCTGCTAAGGACTTTTAAAAATGGCGGATTTAAAGCCCCATCAGCAGGAATGGTATTCGCAAACAAAAAGACCAAAGACCTCGAGAACATAAAAAGAAGAAAAAAAAAAGAGTAAAATATGAGAGGAGTTCTCGTGCCGGGGTCATGTGGGCTTATTTTATGATTACGATGCGGTGTGGGCACCTGGAAAATCAGGTTGGTGCTCCCTGCGAGCCTATAAAGGGGCTTCGCATCTGCCCTACAGCAGGACCGGTCCAGAATGGACCAGCAAAAGGGTCAACTATAATAATGCCCTTAATTAGGAATCGTTTTCAACTTTAATGATATACCGGGTATGC